TCATTCTCAGTGAGTCTATCCAGCTCAACCCACCAAACTTAGATCAAACCGTCAAACTAGGCAGTGCTGATCAAATATGGATCCAGATTCTGTTACTGCGTTGATCATTTCTCTCCTCAAATCGTTTCAGAAACATATTTTAGTGTACTGTTACCTGTAAGAGAAATATGTGATCAGGCAAGCTGCTGTTGTTTCCTTCTGCTCAACTCACAGTACGTGACCTCTGCTGGCTTCTAAACACCAACATGGAGACAACCATAAAGCCCAACTGGAGGCTTCAGAGCTCCACAGACGATGGGGGACCACAGAGTCACGTTTGTTAAAAACCGAAATATATCCAACCTCTTTCAGTTACATAGAGGTACCCAGCAGGGTGATCCTGTTTATCTTCATGGACACCCTCAAGTCCTGAGACACATCCATTAATGCATCAGGGTTCTTCTCATAAGATCTCAGGTTACGCTGATGACATTACTTTATTCATTTCAGATCCTAGAGCTTCTATTGCCCCTGTGTTAAATCTGATATATAAATCTGACTTCTACAACTTGTACAGAGCACAAATAGTGAGCTTGTTGTTGTTGTTGAGCATCTGAATAATGTGTGTTTGTACAGGAGACCTTGATAAACAGCGTCCTGATCCAGGTGAGCAGCTCATAAAGGTTCAGAAGGTCTTCATTCATCCTCACTTCCACTCCTTCACCTTCGACAGCGATATTGCTCTGCTCTACCTCGCCCGGCCTGTCATTAGGGGCCCCACCGCCGTCCCCGCCTGCCTCCCTGACCCCCACCTCTCCAAATACCTGCTGCAGGTAACTTTATTTATGATAGTGGTGGAGCACAGACCTGAGTTTAGAGCTGACAGTGTATGTCTGTGTGTTCAGGTGGGGAACCAGGGCGTGGTGACGGGCTGGGGAGTCACTCACTACCTGGGCAAGTCTTCCCGCTTCCTCAGGAAAGTGACGCTCCCAGTGGTCAGCTACAAAGACTGCACCGCGTCCACTGAACAGGTAATCAGATACCATCAATCAATCAATCAGACTTTATTTGTATAGCACTGCACCCAGGAGCCAAACCAATAAATCAATGAATGAGTAATGGATTTACAACAAGGTCTAAATAATGAACAATCTGTGGTACTCCTCATTCAGTAACAATAATAATATATAATATAAACTAATAATAACCTTAATAATATATAATATAAACTAATAATAACTCTAATAATATATAATATAAACTAATAATATATAATATAAACTAATAATAACTCTGCTGTGCAGGAACATTGTCCTGGTAGTTTCTGCTCACAAAGAACAACAGAATTTAATAGAAAGAAGTGAGGCTCTAGGGCGCTTCCCAGTGGAACTCCTCAAGTTATCGATCAGTTAATAATAAATCATTGTTGGAAACATTTGGGATAATGTAAGAACACAACTCAACTCCATACAGAACATAGCTCTAGAGTTGATACACTTTAATGATTATAGATTAGTGATTATAGATTACTGATGGGTGTCTCTCTTGCAGGTGATCACAGACAACATGTTCTGTGCAGGCTACCTGGACGTCAGTGTGGATGCCTGCAGCGGAGACAGCGGAGGGCCGTTCATGGTGAACTACAGAGGAACCTGGTTCCTGAGCGGGGTTGTCAGCTGGGGGGAGAAATGTGCTGTGAAGGGGAAGTATGGAGTCTATACCCACCTGGGGAACTTCCTAAACTGGATCAGAGACACCATGGAGAGACTGGACATCAACGGTACCGAGAGCCACAGAGCGACTGATTGATTAATGGACTTATTGATTAATGGACTTATTGATTAATGGACTTATTGATTAATGGACTTATTGATTAATGGACATGTCAGCTGTACTTGTATTCACTGTTTGATGATCTTGTATAAACTCTTCATATGTTTGTGTGTAAAAATATTGATTTTGTGGAGTTAAAAGTACAACATAGAAGTAAATGTACTTAGATACTTGTCGAGTACTGAGTAGGTGTTACAGCACAGCTCTGTTAGATTGTCCTGATTGATCGTCAGTTCAACCTGTTTGATATTTTATTACTAACGTCAGTAAATGGATGAGATCAATGATTCCTGTAAACAGAAAATGAGATTTTTTTTTTGCAAAAAGTGTTTATTATTTATATAATCCATACATACGAGTGTAAGATATAATAACACAGTAACAATAGCTCTAATAGCTGATCAGCAAGTAACAGATTACATTGATAATGAAAGGTAACTTGCATTCTGTTAAAGTCATCAGATTACAAATACATTTAGTAAAAATAGGAATTATAAGAAGGTTTACAATTTTAAAATAAAGAACGACGTATTACCATGCACCTTTCCTAAGCCCCGCCCCTTTTAGCTCTGCGCTCCAATCACAGTTAAACAACTTCCTCCTTTCCTGTACTCAAATATGCTATGCTAGGCTAATCTATGTTGAAAAGACAACCACATTTTGGAGATGGTTCAAAGATAAAAGAGACATTGTAGTTTCCTTCACAAACGCTGATCCACTGAGTCACCAGACTACAGTTTCCTTCGATTTTTAATGAATTATACAAAACAATCGCAGTAATTTTGCATGCAGCGCAATCGTTTTAGAAAGGCTGCCACAAAATCAGCCCACGATATTCTGGAGGGACCGATATACTCACAGCTTGAGTAAGCTATTGTTAGCAAAATGCTAACTAATTAGCTTGTGCTTTGCTAACATTAGCTAACTTAAGAAGTGACTCTGTGTCTCTTTTATCTTTGGATCCTGTCACATTGTTCCGTTTCTATATGAATGTTTCTAAAAGTCATCCTGATCATATTTATTTCTCTTGTGTTTATTGGGTGTTACAGAAAGTAATCCAGTTACTTTAATATTGTGATACTAACAGTAACTGGCTCTGTTGGTCTGTTGATATTTTACAGTATATTATATATATATATATATATATATATATAGTATATATAAGTACATGTACTGCAGTGAATGTACTCAGTGATCACCACCACGGGGCAGCATGCATCTGTATCCACTCCACATATTTAGCCACTCGGGTGTAAACGCCGTACACCCTCTGACTCCCACACTCCTCTGGCCCGCCCCACGACACCAACCCAAACACCGCCCACCTCCGGCTGACCCCGTCCTCCATCACAAACGCCCCCCCGCTGTCCCCCAGGCAGGTGTCCCGCCCCCCCTCGAAGAAGCCGGCGCAGAACATGTTGTCGGTGATGTTGTAGCTGATGGAGCGCGAGGCATAGCTCGCCTGACACTCGTCCTGAGGAACCACCGGCAGCTTCACGTACTGCAGGAGGTCAGAGGTCATCCCCAGGTCAGAGGTCAGCATGGGGGGGTCGCTGCCGGGGGACGAGGAGTTGAGGTTGGAGATTCCCCAACCAGCAACTACACCCAGAGAGTTCGGGAGAGGAGTGGGAGGGTCATCCTGAAGGAGAGAGGTCAAAGGTCACTGTGGTCACTTAATATGTAATAAGAATTTGTAAAGATGTGAACCTATGTGTTAATACTAATACTACAGTACTGCAGTAGTACTACTAGTATTAGTATTTGTAGTACTGTAGTATTAGTAGTTCTGTAGTATTAGTAGTTCTGTAGTATTTGTAGTACTCTAGTATTAGTAGTACTGTAGTATTAGTATTAGTAGTACTGTAGTATGTAGTATTAGTATTAGTAGTACTGAAGTATTAGTAGTACTGTAGTATTAGTAGTACTGTAGTATTAGTATTAGTAGTACTGTAGTATTAGTAGTACTGTA